AGGGGAGGGAGGCGGCGGACGGGCCGTGCAGGGCCCGTTCGCTGGGCAGGATGGGGGCTGGAGGGGGGGAAGCCGGCGGACGGCTCCGTTCGCCGCTGGGCTGAAAGCGGCCCTTAGTCTATGTGGGGAAGATGGCCGCTCAGAAGACGCTTTCTCCGATGACTGGCTCCCTTCCCTCCCAGCCACCCAGCCAATGGCAGGGCAGGTTGGCTGAGGGAGCCAGTCATTGGAGGCAGCTCTTCTGAGTGGCATATTTTCCGCCCATACACTAACGGGGCGCATTTTAGAATTCTGGCACCCAAAACTCCTTTATAATAAAGGAGAGATGATAATTAATTTAGAATGTAAGCAAATCAGTACCGAAATAAAAAAATTGATATGGTCTGTGGTTTCAATCAGTTTGGGGCTTACTGGAAAATGCTTAAGATAATGCTCCTCCATACTAAAATTAATTCTCTCACAGAAAACTTGCATATCAAAGAGAAGGCTAGGCAAGAACATATGTTCCTGGCCAGTGTTCCATCTAAGCTGAGTTAGGGTGAGCTAGCTCACAGTTTTTTAGCCTCCGGCTCACACTTTTTTGTCTCAGCTCAGGAAGGATGGCTCCAGAGCAAACTAATGTATGCAGTAGCCAAATCACTCACTCACAACTTTAATGTCAGTAGCTCACAAAGTAGAATTTTTGCTCCCAAGACTCCACAGTTTAGAGGGAACATTGTTCCTGGCATAGTATTTGCAGGGAATTTTTCTGTGGGGGATTGTTCAGTCATGTGAGCCTACACCTGAAGATGTACAGCCCAGACACAGGCTCACCATCTCGGTGACAAGTGACTGACAGTTGTAGGAAGTCCTTCATTGATAAAAGAAAGGCCTCAGGGCCCAAAGTACACAAAACATGGCATGGGAGAAGCATGATTAGACATGATCAGACATGATTGGATGTGATTGGCATGTTCTGCACCTTTTTTTTAGTTGTTTATGAAGAGTTTTTAGTTTTTATTTGACAACTAGATTTTGACTACTTTATCAGGTTATTCATCTATTTTTAATTACATTTAAAAATTGTAATGGTTTTGGCTGTGAAGCTCCAGACTAGATTAGAAGCCTGCCACAGCATACTGTGGTTGGTGTTGATGGTCCTTCCATCTGCTGCTGGTTTATAAAATATTAGTTCTTCCAGGCGTGGAGCTGGCAAGATAAATCTCAGCTGGATTTATAAAAAAGTGCACTGATGAGTGAATGAAGGGTTAGACCTGTAGCAGTTTTTATTTTAGGACAGAGGGATTTTTTAAAATAGCTATTTCCTCCTGTTTGGGACTCAGAGTGGATAGAGATGGATAAAGAGGATTGGTTCATAGTCACCTGTAAAGTATGTGATATGCTTGTTTTCCTCCCAGAGATAAGCAGAGATTATATTTGCCAGAAATGTAAACTGGTGACTCTGTTGTAGAAGGTAGGTGGCCTGGAGGAATGTATTGCTGCTCTCCAACAGATTAGGCACGGAGGAAATTTCCTTGATAAGACCCAACAGGCTCTATGAAGAGATGGAGAGACTGATCAGAAGGATAATAAATTGGAGGCATCTCAGTCATGGAGTATGGTTTGCGCTAGGAGGTGTAGAGCTAGGCAACACTCTATACCACTGGAGCTGACCGATTGATTTTAGAGTTTGACAGAAGGTTCAGTTGTGGTGGACTTGTTAGAAGTGGATCATCATGGGCCTGAATGAGGATGTGAGGAGATGAAAAGGCCTTTGGTTGAGGTGGTAGACATCCAACCATTTCAGCCTCTCCTGCTCATATTGCCCTACTTCATGGCAATGTGTCCAAACAATATGATCTTGTGGCTATAGGTGATATTAATTTCCCTGGTGTGCTTGGAGACTTTTTCTGTCAGGTACCCAGGTGTCATCCTAGGCTGGATTTGTTTACACGATAACACCCTCTTTCAAAAGGTAGAAGAGTCAACTAGGGAGTGGCTATTTTAGATTTGGTTTTAATTAATAGGAAAGAGCTGGTTGATAAGGTGAGAGTGGTAGGCACATTGGGGGAAGCAATCATATATTGTTAGAATTCTCTCTTTTGTGGGATATTAAGAGTGTTTTTAGTCAAACACATATGTTGGATGATGGGAAGGATTCCATGGGGAAGAGGGTTGGAAGGGAAAAGGGCAAGTGAATGGTGGGTTCTTTTTCAACGTGAGCTTTGCAGGCTTAAGCTATAGCTGTTCCAACAATATGGAAACATGATAAGGGATCTGAAAACCTGACATGGGTGAACAGAGAGCTCAATGGTGAGCAAAAATACAGGTTGTGCGTAGAAAATGGAAGGGTGAATTACTGAGGAACAGTACTTATAGGGTGATAAAAGCTGTAGGGTGGATGTTAGTGACGCCAAAGCTCAGAATAAGCTAAGATTGTCCAAGGAAGCTTACAATAATAATAAGGTTTTATTTTATAGTTATATGAGGAGTAAACAGAAGGTGAAGGAGATGATAGGTCCATTACTGAGTGAAAATGGAGAAAACTTGACAGAGGATAAAACAGCGGCAGAGAGGCTTAATGCCTATTTTGCATCAGTCTTCTTTGTTTCTTTTTTTTTTTGCATCAGTCTTCTTTCTGAAGGAGAGCTGAGGCTGACTTGGGGAGAGTGGTAAACAGGATTTGAGTTTGCAGGTGGATATAAGTGCAGAGGTCATTCAGAAACATAGGTCATTTCCTGCGGGAGCGCACAGGAGCAAAGCTCCGGCAGTAAGGAGCCCAAGGGGTGGACACATGCAACAAGCCCCACCCCCTGCTCCCAGCATCCCTCAGTCGGACCATGAGGAGCAAGAAGCAGCCAGGTAAGTTGCAGAGCCCCTCCACAGCCCGCCTTCACGTACAAGTTCTCCCTCCTCTGTGAGGGCATATCTGTGCTCCCCCCCCCCATAGCTAGCAATCCAAAACAGTCCAGTGGCACCTTTAAGACAAAGTTTTATTCAGGTACAAGCTCTCCCTTCTTTGTGAGGACAGATCTGCACGCCCCCCCCCGCACTAATAGCTAGCAATCCAAAACAGTCCAGTGGAGCCTGAGTGGTGGGTGTTGCCTTCTGACACACTTCTGGTGATGTCAGGGGGTGTGGCATATGCAAATAACTTAAGATAATAAGTTATGGTAATGAGCTCCTGCACCTCTTTTTTTTGCGAAATGACCCCTGTTCAGAAGTATCTGAATGCTTTGGATGGGTATCGGTCCCCTAGGCTGGATGGACCCAAGAGTGCTTGAAGAACTAGCCTGGGAGTTGGTAGAGCCATTATCCATTGCCTTCGAGTGCTCTTGGTGGATGGGTGATACGTCAAATGATTGGACAAAGGCAAATGTTGCCCTGTTTTTTAAAAAGGGGAGGAAGGATGATCCAAGGAACTACAGGCTGGTCAGTTTAACCTCTGTCCCAGGCAAAATCTTGGAGAGGATTTTAAAAAGGCTGATTTGTAAACACCTGACTGCATGCAGTTCAGTGATAGTTGGTAAATAAAGAACAGAGCAAGAGTCTGTGATTGGAAAGTGAAAGTGACAAATGATCATGTTGGCACTGAACAGCCAATGTTGTTTTCTTGTTGCTAATTTCTGTGGCAGTAGTGAAATCTATTTTTAAAAGATGTACATAATATTTAACATTGTCATTCCATCACTGTAATCAGCATGCCTCTCTATGCACTTTCTTCAGAGATGCACTTCTTTCCAAGAAACTTCACAGCTAAATTGACTCCAAAGGTGTGATGACCAGATTTAATAACAGCTAAGTGCAGAGCTTAATGATCTCATTCATTAATGTATCAGCCATTGCTTTGGATTATTAAATTTCTTTCATCTTTTTAACTGCAAGAACCTAAAAGCAAAGCACAAATATTCCAATATTAGATTCAGTTTAATCATTCCAGTGGCCCACTGAAGAGAAGAATCAATATTGGATCAATGAAAATTATTTTCTACTATAGTGTACTCTTTTTTTTAGAATTATGCACATGGAACATGCAAGATACAATTAAGCATCCTGACCCACTGATTTCTTTGGAGGACAACTGTTTCAATTTGCAAAGAGTAGCTCTGCCTACAGGAGTTACCCCATCAATCTGAATGGAGGCAGCTGATCCAAGGTCATAGTTTTGATCCCTCCATTGAAAATGAATAACGCATGCTCACCAGTACCACCAGAAAATTAGCCAAAGAAGTTCAAAGAAAGTGTACCATGGACATAAAGCACACCAGAACCAAAATACACCCATGACACTTAACTAAGAAAAGACTATTAAGAATTACCTTTTATTATTTATTCAAAATTATTTTCAATAAATGCATTTTTTTTCTATAATTTGTAGCTATCTGTGCGATTCTTAATGCGTCATAAGTCTCTTCTTAAGTTTCATAGTTGTATTTTAGTTTTGGTGTGCTGGAAAATTAGCTGGCAAGACACCTGAATTTATAGAAACCAAATAGAAAATAAAGACCAGTTATGCCGAGTTGGCTTTTTAAAGTACTTTTTCCTAGATTATTATTCTACTAAAGTTTAGATAATTTCTGACATTTCAAACTAACAGAGGTTCTTTACATTTTAAATGAATTTTCAAAAATCAGTGCCATAGTATATTGTGACTATTTACTTCAGCCATTTTGTCATTACACTCTGAGGCTCATTAGCTATCACATTGATCTTTAAGGACCTGGTGAGTTCAGCGAATTAAAATCTCAGCCTGTCATCTTAACTCTTTTTAAACTATTACCACTGAATGAGAAGCAGTCACATTCATGAACCTGCCTGTAATTTAGAATTATCTAGTGTTGCCCTTGTCTCTATGCTTACTTTGTCTGAAGTGAGGTTGGTGGGCAGGGAAGAAAGGGCTTACTCAGCCATAGCCCCCATATTTTGGAATTCTCCTATCAAGATGCCAGATCAGCTCCCTGTCATTGGTTTCCTGGAAGATGGTGAACACTTCCTTCCTGGTTGGTCTCAGGAAGGGGGGAGCCCAACCCAGGGTTTTGTTTCTATGTATTTACGTGCTCTCCCTTAGTTATGGATTTTTACTGACACTTCTACTTATGGTTTCACTGTTGAGTTGGTGATTATTTTTTAACTTTTTTGCTGCTACTGTTGACTGCCCTATTAACATGGTGGAAGGTCTCTTCCAGTTATAATTGCTCTTCGGGGACTGGGAAAGATCACCTATCCAATTTCTTAAGTAGTTTCAGATGGATGGATAAGTACAGATGGTTAAACTTAATATGAAATACAATGTATCCGTGCAATCACTGAAGTCAGTCGGTCTCTAGGATTTGATGTGAGGACATGGTTTGTGATCTTGCCCTAGTAAGGAGGTGCTGTTGTTTTAATAAGGTACATCCTACCAAGGTGCAGCTGTTGAGAAGATCAAGTTGGTTTTGTATAATAACTTTCACAAATTGTTTGTGATTTCATTTGCAAAACAATGCTTTTCGTTAGGGATATTTGCAAATTGCTTCTTCCAAAGATCTTAGGGAAGTGGAACAATAAGATTATAATTATCTCATTTTAGCTTCCCAAAAACTATATTGGAACTTTACTTATGAGCTTCTTATCTGAGCAGTAATTTGAACTCAAGTCTCCTCAGTTCATCCAGCCCTTTACCACATTGGCTGCCTTATCTGCAAATATTGTTCCTATACATTTTTGGGGTTTGCTTTTTGGCAGTGTAAATCACTATGATTCTGCTTTCTTTCCTCTCCCCCCCCCTTCAGTCCCCCCTAGATTTGTGGTTCAGCCAAGTGATCAAGATGGGATTTATGGAAAAGCTGTCATTCTCAACTGCTCCGCAGAAGGCTATCCTGTCCCCACAATTGTCTGGAAGTACTCAAAAGGTATTTTTCACCCTCTAATGACAATATAAGAAATATTTGATATGATGACAGAAAAGCCCTTTAATACACACATTTCCAAAATTATAGTCCTTTTTTCTCCTGAAGTCAAGTGAAGGTTTTTTTTATTAGCTTCAATTTTCACAAGGAAGCAAGAGGCTTCCCTGTGAAGATAGCAGGCAGGATCCAAAAAGCTGAGTAGCCTCATATTTGCACTAGCCCACTGGAATTTTTAACTTTATAACAACGAGATGTTGCAGAAAGGTGACTAAAGGAATTGAGGCAACGGTGGTGTGAAAGTGAAGAATGTTACAAATCTGCTTACTCCAGAGGGCTACTTCCATAGGATTACTCCAGAGTGTGTAGCTTGTGTCTTGCAGCCTCAGACTCCTTAGTGAAGATATAAATTGCAGATATTTCTAATCTTCTGGGATAATTTGTTACATAACAGGTGTCAGCTCCACAGCTGCCATGGACTGGTGGGGGGGGGATGCTGAACACTGGATAAAATTACCTCTGTCTGTTTCTCTGGAATGTTTAGTTTCACTTCTCCCTGCACCCTTATCATCCGTTAGTCTGAGCTGGTTATCTTGGTACCTTGTTACTCCTTCTCCCTGGGAATGCTTACCCATTAGGTTAGGCGGGCTTTTGCGTAACTTCTGATTGGCCCCGAACATCCCACTGACCCTTTTTGATTTCTGTATATCACTAGCCTGTGCTTGCTTGCTTTTAGTTCTGATAATGAATGTATGCTCAAAAGACCTGCCTTTACTGTACTCAATAAATGTGAACCTCTTGAAGGAGTGTTGTTGAGAACTGATTGCTGTGGGACTCTGACAGATTGTCAGACCTCCTTATAGCCCCGGACCTCGCACCTCACCATGAGTGGCGAAGAGAACGGGGACGTTCCAGTCACATTGGCTGAAGAGATCCCAGTGATGACCGGGATCCCCATCACCACTATGCCACTCTTGGGGGCTAGTGGGGGAGTGGATATGTATGGTTTGGAGAGGCCCTGGCACGATCCTTATTCATGGGCCTGACTCTCCGTGGACACTAGAGAGTCTTGGATAACTATCCCCCACCCAGGGGGGTGCAAGTCGCTATGACTACATTTTCACTGCGGAGAGTGGATAAGATGCTGGGAGGTATGACGGTGATATAGAGGATCAGACGCAGTGGATGAGGCCCAGCGAGAAGAGCTCCGGCGGGAGATTCATGACATATTCCTGGAGCACCGTGCCAGAGCACCGCTCCAGGAGCCCAGGAGTGGGAACAAATGGCAGTGGCGGCAAGCCCCGCCCCCAACTCCCCACCCCCCAGCGCTTTTGCTCTAGAGTCACGCTGCAGCAGCAGCACAATCTCTCCATTGTATTCTACGGCCCCATAGAATACAATGGAAAGATTGTGCCGGCACTGCGGTGCGACTCCAGAGAGAAGGGGTTTAAAGTTTAAACCCCTTCTCTTTAGAGTCATGCCGCAGCAGTGGCACAATTCCTCCATTCTATTCTATGGGGCCATAGAATACAATGGAGAGATCGTGCCACAGTGGCAGTGTGACTCCAAAGAGAAGGGGTTTAAACTTTAAACCCCTTCTCTCTTCGCTTCCCCCCCCCCAGCCCGCCTTGGCAGGCCGGCTGGGAAAGGGAAGGGGAGGCTTTTGAAGATGCCCCCCCTTTAGCTTCCCATTCTTACATCACTTCCGGTGATGTCAAGTGGCGTGGCATATGCTAATAGCTTATTAGGCATGCTAATGAGCTCCTGCAGCTCTTTTTCTACGAAATGACCCCTGCTTAAAGGAAGCAATCATGTCCCCCCTCAACCTCCTCTTCTCCAGACTAAACATTCCCAAGCCCCTTAGCCTTTCCTCAAAAGGCTTGGTCTCCAGGCCCCCTATCATCCTCGTCGTTCTCCTCTGGTCCAGCTCCATTCTGTCCACATCCCTTTTGAACTGGGGCCTCCAAAACTGCACACTGTATGCATGTTCCTCATTTCTGTTACCTAGATGTAGAACTTGGCACTTGTCCTTGTTAAATTGCATCTTGTTCACATCCGCCCACTTTTCCAGCGTGTTCAGATCTCGTTGAATTCTATATCTTCTGGTGTGTTTGCTGCTGCTCCCAATTTGGTGTGATCTGCAGATTTAATGAGTAGCCCACACCCTCATCCAGATCATTTATTAAAATATTGAAAAATACTGGCCCCAGAACCGAGCTCTGTGGCACCCCAATGGACACCTCTCTCCATTCAGATGAAGTGTCATTGACAACTACTCTTTGAGTATGGTTCTCCAGCCAGTTCCCTATCTACCTAACTATCCTAGAGCCTAGTCCACAGTCCTTTAGTTTACTCATCAGAACATCATGGGGAGCCCTGTCAAAAGCTTTACTGAAATCCAGGTAAACAGTATCAACAGCATTCCCATGATCCAGTAAGCTTGTCACTTGATCAAAGAAGGAAATGAGGTTGGTCTGGCAGAACCTGTTGGGGACAAATTCGTGCTGACTTCTCCAGGTCACTGAGTTGTCCTTTAGATGCTCACAGATTGATCCCTTTAAAATCTGCTCCAGTATCTTCCCTGGGACAGAGGTCAGACTGACTGGCCTGTAGTTTCCTGGGTCATCCTTCCTCCCTTTTTTGAAAATTGAGATAACATCTGCCCTCCTCCAGTCTTGTGGCACATCTTCTTTCCTCCAAGAGGTCTGGAAGATAATGGACAAAGACTCTGCAAGCTCTCTAGAAAGTTCTTTGAGCGCTCTTGGGTGCATACCATCTGGCCCCGGGGATTTGTACCCATTCAGTGCAGCCAGGTGCTTCTCAACTACCTCTCTGTCCTTGTCAACCAGCAGCCTTGATGCCATGACTTGCCTACTACCATTTCTATATGAGGCAAATTGAGGCACTGAGCCTTTCTGCTCTCTCTCTGTCTTCTGTCAGATTTTCTCCATTTTCACCCAACAGTGGGCCCATCACCTCTTTCATCTTACATTTGCTCCTCACATACCTGAAGAAGATTTTCTCGTTGTAGCGAGCCTACCTGGCCAGCTTTAGCTCACTGTGAACTATGGCCTCTCTGATGCCTGACCTACAGTGCCTATCAACCTGCAGATACTCTTCTTTAGAGGTATGCCCTTGCCTCCATTTCTTGCACATTTTGTTTTTCTCCCTTAGCACATCACACAGTTTTCTGTTCACCCACATTGGCTTCTTGGATCCCCTACCATGTTTCCTTCTTGTTGGAATACTGATGACTTGAGCTTACAAGAACTCTTGTTTTAGGAGAGCCCACCCTTCACTTGCTCCCTCCCCTTCAAGCAGTCTTGCCCATGGAATGATTTTCATCATGTCTCTGAGTTTATTGAAATCTGCCTTACTGAAATCTAACATGTACATGTGGCTATGTATTTCCTTGGTCCCTCACAGTCCCCACCAACCTTCACCCCATCTACCATTTCTTGCCTGTTGGTCAATATTAAGTCGAGTATGGTCAAGCCCCTCATAGCTTCCTCCACCATTTGATGAAGGAAGTTGTCAGCCAGACAGGTCAGGAATGTGTGTGACTATGGACGCTTTGCAGAGTTTGTCTCCCAGCACACATCAGGGAAGCTGAAGTCACCCATAACTACCAGGTCATGTTGTTTGGATAGCCTGTCAAGCTGTTCAAGGAGGGCAGCATCCAGTTCTTCATCCTGGTCTGGAGGCCTGTAGCATCCCATCTTTCTTTCTATCAGATGTCTTTCTCTTGGTCTCCTAGCCTCTGCCTGCTCTCTCTGCTGCTTCAGCTGCCATCTAAGCCTGCTTTTTCCTCCATTTTCATCCTCCTGACTTAGCTTCCTGTTCCTTAGCTCGAGACACTGCACTAATGTGTATTTGCTGATGTATTTAGAACATTTCTTAATGTGAAATAGGAAATGTTAATTTTGTGGGAAATTCTGCTATGTATATATGATGAATACAGCTTCCAAACCTGTGTCTATCTTAAAGCACTCATTAGATTCTGCCTAGGATGATTTACAAAGGATCAAGCTAACAGTTGTCATGAATGCCATATGTCATTGTCCCTGATTATATTGAATAGCTGAACACCTGTTCCTAGGTTTGCTGAGATATCCATAGTTGTTTCAATAGATATTCCCCATGTTCATTTATTTGGCATTATATGGATGGCATACATTTCTAAATGTTTAATTGCAAATGATTTAGCAGCCTCAGTGCAACAAATGTGGCTTATAACCTACGGGTGCGTTCAGACGGTTCTTTAGATCTGCGTGAGGCACGGGTGCCTCATGGATTTAAATGTAATGTCTAAACATCAACATCTGGGAAACGTCCATCTTCTGTGAGCATCCCGTTTTGCCATGCTTAGAAGCCATACTAAAAAGATACTACTTTAAATCTAGAGTTTTCAGTTCCGATGGGCCACTTGCAGACTTTCCCCCATCTGATCGTTCCAGCATGCAATTAAAAATGGCACCCGTTCGGGATGGTCTGATGTCAGACCATCCCAAATGGGTGCCATTTAAAAAAAATTCTTGATTCTGCACATGCACAAATAACCAATGACGCAATATCATGCCTATGCGCACGTGCAAACTTTTGTTTTTTTAAAAAAGCCACTGCCCGCACGCGCCTCCTTCAGTGGACGCCATCTAGACAATCCACAGCGGTAAGGCATGCGGTAAGGCGATTCCCCCGGGAGATGTCTGGTCATGCGAGGATGGATTAAAAAGATCGGGATCAAATTTGAGCTGGCATAATGGTGGGATTAGCTGTCTTTCTGAATGCACCCTAAGCTGCCTTAAAAGCTGTCTCTTCCTTCTTCCTTCTAGACGTGTGCTGTGAGATGATTACATTTGCTTAAGAAGTCCCTTTACTACTTCCTCATATGATTTATAATTTGGCATAAAGTGTTTTTTTCTCTTTTGCTTAAATGACTGAGAATCCTGAAAGTTTTAGATGGTCCATATTAACATATGATTACTGTGTGCTGTCTTCATCCAAAAATTCCTCTTTTCAGCCTTCTTCCCTCCCTCTTTTATTTCAACTGTAGGTGCTGGAGTCCCCCAGTTCCAGCCAATTGCCTTGAATGGGCGGATCCAGCTTCTCACAAATGGCTCCTTGTTGATCAAGCATGTACTGGAGGAAGATAGTGGATACTACCTCTGCAAGGTCAGCAATGATGTGGGGGCTGACGTCAGCAAGTCCATGTACCTCACTGTTAAAAGTAAGAATTTCTTTCTGATCCAAGTAATAGCTATAAGTCACACAGGTGTATCTGTCATCTCCTGTATCAAAATAATATTTTGCTTGCAAACTGAGACACAGTTACATGTGGTGGGTGCTACAAGCATGGACGGCTTCAAAAGGGAATTAGATAAGCATATGGAGCAGAGGTCCATCAGTGGCTATTAGCCACAAGGTATAGCTAGGGGCTCTGGGGCACGTGATGCTCTGTCTTCTTGGTGCTTGGGGGGGGGGTCAACAGTGGGAGGGCTTCTAATGTCCTGGCCCCACTGCTGGACCTCCTGATGGCACTGGTATTTCTGGCCACTGTGTGACACAGAGTGTTGGACTGGATGGGCCTTTGGCCTGATCCAACATTGGCGTCTCTTATGTTCTTATGTCCTTGTTGCCCCAACACAATTGGCTGGGTATAATTTATCGGAGAAGATCAAAAGACTAGAAGAGATAGTTGTTGTTGTTCAGTCGCACAGTTGAGTCCGACTCTTTGCGACCCCATGGACCAGATCACGCCAGGCCTTCCTGTCTTCCGCCGTCCTCTGAAGTTGGCTCAATTTCATGTTCGTTGCATCCATGAAACTGTCCAACCATCTCATCCTTTGCCGTCCCCGTCTTCTTTGACCTTCAATCTTTCCCAGCATCAGGGTCTTCTCCAGTGAGTGCTCCCGTCTCATTTGGTGGCCAAAGTATTTGAGCTTCAGTTTCATTATCTGGCCTTCCAGGGGACAGTCAGGGTTGATTACTTTTAGGATTGACTGATTTGATCTTCTTGCAGTCCAAGGGACTCTCAAGAGTCTTCTTCAGCACCATAGTTTCAAAGAATCTATTCTTCGGCGCTCGGCCTTCCTTATAGTCCAACTCTCACAGCCATACATGACTACTGGGAATATCATTGCTTTGACCATGCGGACTTTTGCTGGCAGGGTGATGTCTCTACTTTTTATCACGCTGTTTAGGTTCGTCATCGCTTTCCTCCCAAGGAGCAGGCGTCTTTTAATTTCATGGCTGCTGTCACTGTCTGCGGTGATTTGGGATCCCAGGAACGTGACTTCAGGGATGCTCATGCTTTCTAGGGCATCCTGGTATCTTCTCAAATGTTGGTTGTTCCCCATCTCATACTCCCTCACAAATGCACACTACTGGGTGCAGTTATGAGAAGTCTTTTGTCTTGATTAATCTTAAAGAGATCAATGTAATGCATAAGGTATATAAAAAAAGATAAGAACTGCAAAATGAATCAAGATGAACACTGGTTATCTAAGGTAGCTGGCCAGGAGTCGATGCAGTGTCTTTTGGTAATGAGCTTGTTTTTGCCTTAGCTGGCAGTTCTATACTGTCTGATCAGTGTATGCAGTTTCATGTGTGGTAAAATAGCATCTCTTATCAAATAAGAGCAGGAATCTCTCTGGGAGTCAGTTACTGTTTGAATCTAATGAAAGCACCTCTGGCTCTAACAAACATGGACATGCACCCATCCCCTCCTCTTCCTTGCTGTCCAAGCATATGTGTGTATGTGCACAATTTCAGTTTTGCATTTATAAAGTGGTCGTAAAATGTGCTTTTTGTGTGGGTGAGATGCTTCAGTCCAACATGTATTAAAGACAGGTTGGAGTTTAATATTTAGAATGGCCCGAGTGTTGCTTAATAGGCAGTCATAATAACCAATAATCATGTGGTATTCTCTAAAACCTTCTTCAAATTTGTGCCTTTATTCTCTCATTCATTGCCTTTTTTGTCTCATTGTAGTATGTTCTATTTTCCCTTATTTTTCGTTGCTGCCTCATATAGATGGGCTTTTCTGCTCCGGTCCTGAGGGATATCTGTTCTGCTAGATGCAGCAAGCCTCAAGCTCCCTCCCAGTATGACTCACTCTGCTAGCCATTAATTGATCCCACATAATGTGTTTGCCCAGCTCTGCAAGGTCACTCTCTAACAGCTCTCCTTGTGTTCAGAAAGAGAGGAGGGAGGAAATGTGCTACAGGCAGCGCTTTCTGGGTGACAAGGTTAGGAAGAAATAGAGTTCTCCAAAATGCAAAATGACTGACAGACATTTTCTTACTCACTTTGAGAAAGACAACCCCCCTCCTTTGCATTCCTTAATAATTAAAGGCTTTCAGGGCAAAGTGTAGTGTGATAAAGCAACTGAGAAAGTAATGTGGCTTAAAAAGTATAATTTAGGTCACTAGAGTCTGGAAAGTAATTTACTAGTCTGGAAAAGATGCATGCAAAGATCAGCACCTCTCACCTTTCCATCCTGTAGCAATATATGCACCCAACTTGCTGCCAGATGAAGAAATCTGACATTGTAAAATAAGGTTTATATAATATATGCAAAAGATATTTCCTTGTAGAAAAACGATCTCTAATGGCCTGTGTCCCTACTCTAGGGTCACTCGTCCTAGTAGTTTCTTCTTGTGCTTCTTTCTCATAAGATGGTTTAATCAGTATTGGTCCACTCCAGGGCACTTTTTGGTAATTCTTCCAATGATCTAGAATGGCCTGCCATTAGAGGGAAACTGGAGTACACCTTCTTTGGCAGTTTACATAACAGAATGCTGGAATGATTGCCACATGAGTGCCTTTGTTGCTGAGTTTAATATGGTCTGGATGGATTGTTTTGATAATAATTAGCTTAAAACGAGTGGTAATCACACCAGCCCTTGGGTGGAAGGGGGTCTCCATTTTTGTAATAAAATGAGTGGGTGATAGTTTCAGAGGGGTCTTCTTCTTCTTCTACTTCCTCCTCCTCCTCCTCCTTGTCCTCCTTCTCTTGCTCCCCTTTGTGATTATCATCTGGCTTGACCAGCCACAGAACTGTGGGCAAGCTTCTGAATTCTGTCTGCCAATTTTTTCATCATGCTGGATATCAGGGGAAGGGGAAGGAAGTTGTTTCAAACCCTTACTGTGAAGAAGAAGAGTTGGTTTTTATACCCTGCTTTCCTCTACCCTAAAAAGTCTCAAAGTGGCTTATAATTGCCTTCCCTTCCTCTCCCCACAACAGTCACCTTGTGAGGTAGGTGGGGCTGAGAGGGAGCTGAGAGAACTGTGACTGACCCAAGGTCAACCAGTGGGCTTCTTGTGGAGGAGTGAGGAATCAAACCCAGTTCTCCAGATTAGAGTCTGCCACTCTTAACCACTGCACCACACTGAATGCCAAGCAGACATGAATAAATAAAGTAAGTCTGGGTGGAAATGGTATCAAATAGCACCTTTAACTTCTGGGAAGAATGAAAAGTGGCAACTTCTAACTGAAAATATATAAAGCATCAATTGAGTAAATGTCTGTCTAGGGCCAAACAGAACGCACAGGTCACTTAAAAGGCCAAAATTAGAGGGGAAATATGGTAGCCATCATATTAAAACGAGGGATTCATTATTGGATCATGTCTAATAGAGATTATTTTATTTTTGTTTTCTCTTCTAAATAGATTGTCCAGAGTTCTTTGTGAAATCACTATCTATAATATCTTTAGATTCAAGGATTTAGATCCAGGTGGGCAGCTGTGTTGGTCTGAAGAAGTACAACAAAATCTGAGTCCAGGGGTGGCACCTTTAAGACCAACAAAGTTTTATTCAAATTACAAGCTTTCGTGTGCACCCACACTTCTGAGAAAGTGCTTCTGGGCTCAAACTAAAGTCAAGGATTGTTATAGAAAGGAGAATATCCATAGTGGGTCAAACTCAGAGTTTCCAAGCAAGGTGATAGCCATAATCTGAGGGTAGTTTCTGAAGTTAAGGAGAGGCTTCATATGTCCAGGGCTGCTGAGAGTCACCATGGGCTCTCAGAGAAATATTCTACCTGGACTCAAACCATGTGTCTAACACACATATGTATGTGTACCAATACAGGACACATCTGACAAAATGGCAGTAATTCACAAGAACTTTATATCACAATAAATCTTTAGTAAGTAAATCAGCAAAAATGTATTTCATCTTACCCGTGTACCTTTATCTAGCAGAAAAGCTATATATGATTATGTATTGGTGCTAGATGAGAAGTACTGGTATCATTGGGATTCATTTAGCTGACATATTTTCTTTAAAAATTATACCATTTGTCATATAACTTGAAGCTTAATGTCCATACTAGCAAAGCAGCATTTCAAAGGGATAATTTATGTCCAACCAATGCAACAACAACCCACTGCCTGTACAGTGTTTAAAATGTAATTAAATCTAATTAAGGGAGAAGGAGTTATAACTTCTGTTCCACATATGTAACCACTAAAACAGATTAACATTCCATTACCATGCATCCTTTTACTAGTTTGATAGATCATGGGAAATACTAACTCTCCACCCCAGCTTCTGTTCATAATTCTTAGCTGCTATACTACCCTGAAGTACATCTTAAACTGCCAACCAGGGATGAGAAGGAGTTGATACCAAAACTAATAAATGGGTGGATTAGAAGGGAGAAAAGAGAAATGAAGGCATATGATGAAAGGAAGAGAGCCAAATGAAGAAAGAAGAAAGGTTTAGAAAACAGGAAGAGGAATTAAGAGGAAAAGTTGTTTTTATTTTCTAAAACATGCTAACAGGGAAGATCTGGTTGAGCAGATAAAACTATGGAGCTGGGTGGAAGGAAAGGAAGATGAAACAGACTACTGAAAACAACAAGCTTGTTAGGAAGGTGTAGCCTGTCAATGACCATATCGGCGATTTATTTATTTATTTATTTATTTATTGTTTTCATTTTCTAAAACATGCTAACAGGGAAGATCTGGTTGAGCAGATAAAACTATGGAGCTGGGTGGAAGGAAAGGAAGATGAAACAGACTACTGAAAACAACAAGCTTGTTAGGAAGGTGTAGCCTGTCAATGACCATATCGGCGATTTATTTATTTATTTATTTATTTATTTGTTTATATTTCTATCCCGCCCTCCCCGTAGGCTCAGGGCGGCTTACAAGTCATATTACCAAGTCATAACATAACATAAAACAATACATACAATTAAGATTTTTAAAACCAGTTATA